AACTAACAATCCAACAAGATACATTTCGCACACTCTCCAAACTAGAAAGATTTAAAACTCCATTTCCAAGCATTCAAAGTCAATGAGCGCTGCCTGGACTCATAAAAGCTATCTCGATTAAAAGATACCCACGTCACAATAACCAGTGTATTAAAATGCCACAAATATAGACACACCGTAAGGCTAAAATGAACTTATACATCTCTATGCATCGCGTGTTTTTTTTTTTTGCAATAGAGGCGTTAAAGCTAACATCTTCTCTTTCTACTCCATCCTAGACTCCATCAAGCTCACACCAGCAACATCATTCATTAACGATAGCTCTGAAGACAACGTTGCCAACGCAACTTACGCTATACATACCATGGTCCAGACGAACAGAACACAGCAGGTGTGAAACGGTGCGGGCTGTCACCATATCTTTGGCCACTTTTAAACCACTCAAACGCATTCCATTCCAAAAGTATTCATGTCACCTACTTCAAAGATATGTAGAGGCTTACATACTATGACAAAATTACTTTTACGTAATCCTATATTGTTACAAACAAGTGATATGTTGTTGGAGGCATCACTCCTTTTTAAAATATAACATCCATCCATAAACGATAAATTTTACATTCCTTACGATTTAATTATAGAACTTAATAGCGACTTCTCTAGACAAATACTTAATGGACTTAAGATCGATTTTGCAGTATCCAATAGAGATTTAGATTTTATCGCGTAAAACTCAATAGATACTGCTATAACTGATCTCGAAGCGCAATATAACACTTGAGGTGGCTTATAATTAAAATATATAGGTACTTTCTATAATTTTACATATATAAAAATAAGTCAGTAATAAAATATCCCAGAGATTCATAAGACGGCAAAATATACACACACTATACTATTTATAATTTACAAATACAAGAGAGTTTGCACCATTTAAATGAGAACAAGATATTATCTTCTGATATTCCTGAAAGTTTGCTCAGATTCTTTATTTTATTAAGTTGGTCGAAAATGAATAATGTGTCTAAAGAAGATAATGTACTTGGTTCCGTTTATATTGCGCATCTCAATATGGTCGCCTTGGGCCAAGCGAAAAAATGGGGCACTCTTTGACCGACATTTAATTATCAATGTTATCCCCATTGAGATATATCAGAAAATAAGATCATTGTTAATCTGTAATGCCCCGAGCATTCTTTCGTTTAGCCTCACTGGACCTTTTAGACTTGCAGTCATATTTTGGAACAAGCTAATTCATAACTGAGTGATTAGAATATTTCGCTACTAATTTCGTATGTCGTTCATATGATGTATTTTATTGAAATAGCTTGAAGGAAACTGAAGACGATGACGAGCCTGAGGTTGATGGTGTCGGAAGAGTGGCGGGGACTAAAATTGCTCGTACAATTCTGAGGAGGCTCAGGCTTACCTGAAAAAAAAACGAATTCAATCTTCACAAAAGCTTTTAAGATTCTTTAACATTTTGGGATTGGTGGTGGGGGATTTTAGAATTGTCAAATATATGAAAAGACAGTCAATCTTGCACACTGGATGGAAGGGGACGCTTGTTGTATCAGACTCTGTTTGAAAATTACCTTGTTATTTATACTGAAATACAGGACTGCCCTATGATATCCAGCATGTGGGATTTGTCAACATAACTCGCTTAGATTTCTATATTGATCCAGCCTACAATTATGTCCGGGATCTTAGATAAAGTGTATTTTTCTTGTATGGGTCCCGAATGTTTTCTATTCCATAACCATAATTGTAACTGTTTCTAAATTTTTAACATGGGTATAATCAATATTTTGAAAGTCGACATTCATTTGGTGAGGAGACAGTTGTAAATATCGTTACTTTAAATGTTTTATTACATTTAGGAGCTGATGATTTTTTGTGTCAGTCCTTCTTATCAGCCAAACATCAGTTCCCACCACCATTTATTCATCATCACCAGCCCTTTTACGTCCCCACTGCAGGGGCTCAGGCCTTCCTTATGGATGGTTAAGGAGGATGGGCCATGACCCTCCACGCTGGCCCAATGCGGATTGGAGGGTATTAAAGACTGCAAATGCAGCCGGGACCAACGGCTTAACGTGCCTTCCGAAGCACGGAGTAGCTCGAGATAATAATTTTTTGGTCACCCATCCCGTGACCGACCCTTGCGAAAGTTGCTTAACTATTACGATCACGGGCCGCGGCGCTTATCCACTACGCCACCGAGTTTTAATAGGCGTCGTAATAAAAACGAGTTATTTAACTTTGTATTAACTTAAAATTTGCTTAGTGCCTGTTTAATAATACTAATATTGACTAATAGTAAATTCAGGTTTAATTAAAAGTTTATTACGACGCTAAGTTTTGTTTATTAATAACTATAACAATATACACGTACAAAATCAGTACCTACTCATAAAGAAATATCAGATTGAGATTATTTTTATCAACAAACTTTTTTATTTTGTTGATAAACCATGTAAATAATAATAATAATGGAAAATCCTAAACATATAACGTTCGATTAGAAATTTATGCGAATCTACTTAAGTACAAATCTTAGATTAATTATCTAATCTATATATAATCATTCGTAGTTTCCTGAAAATTAATATGACCTAATTATTGCATTTAAATCTTTTCTAAAACATAAAAAAATATTTCTTATTCTCATAAAGATCTGTTTTTAATATCTTGTATTGTACACACGGCTGCACGTCAGGCTATCACAATATGTCAAAATTCCTCGATTGATTTTGAAATTTACCAACAATACATTAAGGTAACAATTGGAGAATTTTGACAGTTATATATAGCGTACTGTTGACCGTACCTACAATTTGCCCAAATAAATCTCAGTGTATAATACGCACCAGATTTAATGCCATTAGAATAATTCCGATTAAAAACTTTTGTGTTAGCGAGGAAAATCTTGTAAAAGCGTTAATATTTAGTTAATATTGATCAAATGGTCGATCATTAATAAAATCGATATTTTGAATATTCGTGAAAATTAAATTCCGATGCAATAACAATAGGGTAGTTTCGTTATTAAGAAATAAATTAAGTTACCAAATTCCACAACAACTAAAATTTACATTGAAATAAATATGGATATTTTAATTTTCATTCATTAAATCGTGTGATTATCATATTCAATTAAAGTTAAAAGTCAAAAACGTAAGAAAAGTAATAATTAAGTTAGGGTATACGCTCAATGGTGATTATTTGTCAATGTGAAATTTCTGTACCCGCACTCTCGACTACCTCTCGACGTTTCTATGGAAGTCACTTGTTCGAGACAGCCCGCCACTTTAAAAACGGGGGGTGGACTATTTAAAATTTTATGTTCTGGATATACATGTATAAAAAAATATCATTCATACAATGAACTGAAATCTAAAAATAAATTTAATTTTCAAAATTTCCCGTGAAGACGCCACTTCTGTATGGCGTCGCAATGACGTCACGGTACTCTGAAACGAATATCGTTCTATGTATGCATAAAGTTGAATTCTCTAAGCTCTGATATGAGTGGCGTAAATTCATGACAACGAACATATATTATTGGATTTTCATAATTAATTAAAGCAATATTATTAAATATAATAAGCATAAAAGTGTGATTATCGGTAATAGTACATTATACAATACCGGAAAAAAAATATAATATATATTATAATTTATTTATTTTTGTTCATTCTCTACCCTCATATCAATAAGAACAGAAACAGAAAACAAAATATCATGTTGGAAAAAGTCACCACTGTGTATAAACTCTTACAGTGCTATTAATAAACAAGGTTTAGCGTCAGAATTAATTTACACTATAATATTTATTTATTTACACTATATATTTATTTACAATAATTTATTTACACTATATAATGCAATTAGTATTAGTCCAAATTTATATTACACAGAGAATACGCAAACCTACTATCTTCTAAGAGTAAATATTACTCCAGGAAAACCTTGTACAAGGGCAACTTTTGCTAAGTCTTTGTTTAAAAATTTGAATTTTTACTTATTCTAAGTGCAGTTTCGGCGTAAATTAACAACATCGCTAAATCTTGTTTATTAATTACACATCTTTATCGTTAAAATCCCTAATTGCGGTAGATTCACGTATTATGATTATGATAACATGACGTGCTGCCGTGTGTACGTTTAATGACGCAGTAGAGCCGCAGATCTATAGATTTTTAATATACACGTAGCATGACGAACTCGAGAATGTTTTATCTACCAAATGTCACTTTTCTGGGGTGCATCCATACGATATCTCATTGTCAACCCGAGAAAAGTGACTTTTGGTGTAGGCAAAGCGTTTCTCGAGTGTGTCATGACACGTGGACAGACATGCGTGATCTAGTGATTACTTACTTGTTGCGGCCATAAGCTGCGGCAGGTACTTCTGCCAGAAGGCGCACTGTTTCACCTTCAAACCGTGGCCCACAGCACTCGAGTTGACAGCTAGTGACAGGTACTCTCTACCAAAAGCCGTGTGGACAGGCCAATGAACTTTTGTCATCTCGCCGTTCGGGTTCAAGGACGGGTTACTGGAATACCGTAAAATATAACATGTTTACCAAATAGGGATGATGACTCATTTTTGTTTGTTTGTCCGTCAGGTAGAGTATTAAAAAATATTAAACACGTATTTTTTTATTTTTTTCGTAATCATAAAATTACGGCGTTACATTGAGTTGAAATTTCGCATGACGTCACGTTAGAGTACGTTTTCTACTCAACTGTGACGTAGCGAGCCCCCGCTCCTCAACTTTAATGCCTGTTATCTAAGCTATTTCTTGTTAAATTGAAGTAAAAAAAAATACGTATCTAATATTTTTCTATTATCTGCCTGACGGACTTAATAGAATTGCATTTTTTTTACCCAGTCATCATCCCTATTCTAGACATACCTATTAATTTCTTACCAGCTGATTTTTAGTTAAAACAAAGGACACTACTTAAAACCGCACTTGGAAAATTTTCTCTCAGCGATCAATATCGAGTGTCATGATATTTTTATAATATCTATAAATTCACGTCAAAAGTTGTTAAAATTTTACTAAATAACTTATATTGATTATGAAAGTTTACATTAGTAAACGTTAATACATACCCTGATCTAGCAAAATTGGCCCAATATCTCATTAAGCGCTTGCTGAATTCTACTTCTTCAGGAGAATAATTTTTACCGGGGTTCAGTGGTTCTCCAAATACGTAGTTTATCTCATCTGCATGCATAACCCCCGTCCACGAAGGCCACGGATTGTTCTTGCTCCTATGCTTATAGTAATAAGTGTAAACGTTATTCCCAGTCTCAGCGTATCGATGAGCGAACTCGTTAACTCCACACGTGAAGTGGTAATCCCCAACCATCTTGTCTAATGCGTTGCGGTTCTTTACAGGGTCATCAGGATTTAGCCAATCGGTATACTCAAACACGATAGCTTGTCTCCCAACATCACTTACATAAGGATTTAATTCTCTCACTGCTTGCAAATACTGTTCTCTTGTGATACCAACATTCTCTTCTTTAGGGAAAAGTTCTGTGAGATAGTAGAGAATAAAATAATACCCCTCTTCTGTATTTGAACCCATCAAAATATTTGTCTTTTTGAAGTTCTGATGAACTAAGGATCTTATTGGCATTTCGTCTAAGAAAGATCCATCAATTATTGGAACAAATGGGAATTCGCAAATCCCCAATGTACCCCACTCATTGTTTACAAGTTCGTCGGCGGTCTTCTTTCTTAAACACTCGATCATGGGACCCATGTCTTTTGTTGAATGTGGACAATGAACAGCTTCTGCTAAGCGTGTGCCTCTTAAAATACTCTCCTCCCTAGATATTATAGCCCAAGGCACCGTTGCAGATCCTGATTGCATTATAGCTTGTGAAAATAAGTTCCTTGAAAGAGGTGATAGAAGATGTAACGAAACTGAAACTGCCCCCGCTGATTCACCAAACAAAGTAATATTATGTGGATTACCACCGAAGTAAGCTATGTTATCTTTTACCCACTGCAATGCCATAATCTGATCAAACATTCCAGCATTACCAGGTACATCGGGGGTATCAAAGAAGAGAAATCCTAAAGAGGCAACTCGGTACTGCATGGATACGTACACAATTTTTTCTTCCGAAACAAGAATTTTTGGATCATATACATCCAAAGTTGCAGTTCCGGAGTAAAAACCACCCCCGAACACCCACAGCATGACGGCCGCGTTTTTAGGCCTGGGTCTAGGTGCTACTATATTAATATACAAGCAATCTTCTTGCATATCTGTATTGGGATTCCACATCATTGCACCGGGAAAATCTCCAAACACCGTATCTATAATTTGGACGCATGTATGTGGCAGTGTCGTCGTATTGAGTATTTCAGCACCCCAGCTTTCAACAGGTCTCGGGTGTCTAAATCGCAGATCGCCTATGGGTTTCTGCGCGTAGGGTATACCGAACCAGGCATCTACTTTTTTGCCTGTAGCGGCGGTGAGAGTGATACCTCTGACTCTTCCCTTCCTAGTGCGGACGATGAGTGGATCGTCATCCTCTGGTCCTAGCTGGGGATCGTCAGCCATGAACTCATCACCTTCGGTTCGCTCATGGTTGGAGTAGAAGCGGTCGTCATCTCGTTTGGATGAAGTCTCCGCGTCTTCTACTTTAGCTCGCTTGGAGGAGGTTTCATGATCCTCTATGCGGGGTAGGATGGTGTCGAGTTCGGGGTTGTAGCGAACGGCCTCGCCGTGGCCTCGGTAGGGCTGCGGGGGGTTCGCGGGCGCGGGGAAGTGGAGGGGGTGTTCGGGTGCGTGGTGCCGCGCGCGGTGCTCATGAGGCCCGGCGAGCGCGCGCGCCGCCAGCGCCGTCAGCGCCGCCAACACCACGCGCATACCGCCGCTACACCCGCTCCCACAGTCACCACCTGGAATTCAAACATTCGAACAATTAGATTGTGCTCATCATTTATTAAATAAATCGATTAACATTACATTAATATTGTGAAGTAAAACTTTTAATCATAAAAAAAATACGGAAATACTGAATCAAGGACAGTTATTATTAAATAAATAATGTTTGTAAAGGGAAATGCTCGATAGCAGTACGGTCTTGTCAAAAAACCCATCTTAATAAATAGATAAAACTTCAATACAATGAACAGAATAGGAAAAGTAATATTAAATATCTCCATTTATTACCTACAATGTATTTTATTTATTAATTATCTCCAACATAGATACCAACCGGGACTCGAACCCGGGACTTCGGAGATGGTGACACTTTGAAACCGGCGCGTGAGCCACTCGACCACGGAGGTCGATTCGAGTTTCTACTGCAACTTAGGCGCAGTGCAGTACAATTGTTTGTATAGAGCGTAGTCAAAGTGGCAACAAGCAAACTATGCATTGCCGTTCTGACGGCACCTTTTTTTTAATTAAATTGTAAAAACAACGCTACACGCACACAACATACCTACACAAACAAACTCGGATGAATGAAAAGGCGAGGCTTATTTACTACAACCGAATGCGACGCGCCCTATTGGTCCATAATTTACTAGTTACCATTTATTGGCTTATTTTATAAGTGAGTTTTTTTCTAACACTGTTTAACATTTTGTTTTTATAGATATTTATAATGGGTAGCTCAACGTGCAGCTGTGTATACACCATTTACTTCGAAATAAAGTAAAAGCTGCACAAAAGCAATAGTTAAATAACACGGTCTAAAGTACAAAGGTGCAGACATCAAATACAATTTTCAGGTGACGTCCTACGGGCAATGACAAATTAGTGTCTTACGCAACTCGTTTTTCACACCCAAACAAACAGCCATTCGTCAAAAGCACAAAGAAACCTGCGGACATTTCTCTAGAAAAGCGTAATCAATAAAATCTGGAAAAGTATGAGCTACAGTACAATACAATACCATTGTATTAAATCTATTAAAGTGTCTGTGTTATTAATGTTATTATCATCATCATCGGCCCTTTTACGTCCCCACTGCAGGGGCTCAGGCCTTCCTTATGGTTGGTTAAGGAGGATGGGCCATGACCCTTCACGTTGGCCCAATGCGGATTGGAGAGTATTAACGACTGCAAATGCAGCCGGGACCAACGGCATAACGTGCCTTCCGAAGTACGGAGTAGCTCGAGATAATAATTTCTTGGTCACCCATCCCGTGACCGATCCTTGCGAAAGTTGCTTAACGACAACGATCGCGGGCCACGGTGCTTATCCACTATGCCACCGAACTACTTAATGTTATTATACATCTACACTAATATTATAAAGAGGCAAAGTCTCTAATTATGTTTGTTGGTGGGGGTAATTATGAAAATTCTTTCGGGCGAAGTTGCTGAAAAACAGCTAAAGCAAATATAACGTTATTCGTTTCGGGACCCACCTTTATATAGACGTGCCTACAGCTATAGGATAGCTATCTGTCAAGAGTTGCATTTTAGCTAACTATACGAGTATTTATGTATAATATTGGTTTGAATTTCAATAATTATAAAACAAGAACATCTCAGATGAAACATCTGAAAAATGTTATTATTTTTAAAAGTACATTCGATAAAAACTTAAGTAATGCATGTGAAAATGTAAGATATAAGGTAAATACCCTACATTTACGAGTAAATGTAGTTATAAAGTAGTACCTTTTTAAGACATATTTTTATTAAATATCACAAAAAAACGACCGCTAGTCGAATTCAGTTATATTTATTTAACAACCAGCCCTGCGATTCTGTAATAACGTTTCGTGGCATAAGTGAAGTGAGTTTCGAAATGACATAGGAATAGAATATCTGAGACACGTATTATCAATCAAAAATGTTTTGTATTTTATAAAAGAATGCTATCATTAGAATCACTTCACTGAATGTTTTGGACACATTAATGAATTCGAATTCGCGTTCGGTTTTTCACAGAATCGTCCTGCTGTTATGGTTTTGTTTTCATAAAATATCCACCAATCAAATAAAATGTGAGACAACATCACGTATGTTGCTCAGATTCCAAGATAATTAACTAAAACGTTCTCGTATTATGTTGGGGTATCTGTACCAATAATGATATCTCAACACCCTTTATTGTTTGTAACGTAATGAAATTATTTATGTATTATCCCAGCTGCTTGGCAGACGGAAAGTGGAGCCTCCATATGAACGGACCCGTCCGAAGGCTGACAAAACATGGATGACATATCTACTAAAAGCACTACGTGCACACTAGCTTTTGAGGGAACGACCTAGGATCCAGCAAGAATACTATAAACCCATCCTCCAAAATTACCATAACTCTCGAGATAATATAGAGAAATTTGCGTTTTCTACATCAATTTTATATGATGTTAAAACATATATCTAGATCTTCAAATAACATCTTTATTATAAAGTATATACGTATTACTATTACATTTAAACTTTCTTTACACGAGTATCTGCTAAATATTTATTCGATACGTCCTTGAAAGTTTCTAAAAATTATCCAACAAACAAATTTTCTTACCCTCAAACTTTTTCCATCATTACAAGTTTGAGATTCTTATATCTCTCTTACACGTGTTACAGAGATAAACATTTTGCTCCCCGCGCTTTAAAAACCTATTCAACTTCACACCTTATTCGGTTACTCTTACAGTCTTCAATTATTGAAAACATAATATAGAAATTCATTCCACTAGTGGCCGTGAAATTGTCGAAATTCATCGAAGTTTGAACATTATTAATAGGTAGAGATATGATATATATGAAAATTTCCCCTCATCCGTTATGTGATTGTGACAAAGTTTATAAGATAGACAACATGCAGATTAATAATTTGGAAACGAGGGTCTAATTTTTAAAACCTACGCAATCCCTTTCAATTTGATATTTCAAAGATATTCACGGACTTCACGCTACAACTATTTGACAATTTTTTTTTTCAAATATCGAATGAACGATGTCACTGATTTGATGTTAATTGAAATTATCTCTGGCCAACGTTAGACGCAAATATTACTTTAATTTTAGACGCAATGATTACTTTTAGTTACTAAATTTTTATTATGTTTTTTGATTACTAAATCATCAATCATTCGACTTTAAACGTTACATAAATCCATTTATTGCGATCATAATCACTGAATGTTCAAATAAAATAGGCAACTCAGAGGCTAAGTGTAAATTATTATAAAAATATAGATTTGTGCACTCCTATAATGAACTTTAACTGTTTTTCTCGCGCTATAAAGGTTTGATTGTTTGTTTGAATTGATTAGGCTTCGAAACTACTGGACGGATTAATATAAAATCTTACTAAATTCATCTTAGAGGACCGATAGCATATGCTGGTGACATAGGGTAAAACTTACGCGGGCAAACAAGTAGTATTGTAACGGTGCGTCGTACTACACCCTTTATTTTGTCCTAGGTTCCCGCATCTAAAGATTTTGTCTATGATTTTTAAGATCATATTTTCTTTTTTTTTATTCGCTTTTCCTAATTTGAAATTTTGAGTAACACGATATGCTCTTTCTGAATGTCAGTACGTGAAAATTCTTCTAACAGTGCCTTGTATATATAAGTTCTGGTTATTAAGGAAAACCCAGAAATGGGGTTGTTTTATTTAAGTACCTACTTATACTATAATTGTTTTAAATATATATAACGAACTCTTTTTATATTGTTTTCATTTTTTTTTGTTATAACTCTTTGTTCATACCATAATAATTATCAAGCCTAACCAACCGTTTCATTTACTAGCAACATCGAAACTACCGAACCCGTCACACTACCTATTAATGATATAATCGAATAAAATAGTGACATCACTAAAAATACATCACAAATACTTCGTCTGAGATGAAAATATAACACCAGAAATAACTGAAGAGACAAATATACTGTCCCAGAACAGTCATTATAACGAAACTATTGATCATACTTAAAATACCATGACACTTCACATCGAAAATGACAAATACTTTATTCGAATAAGCTTCTTAGAAGCACTTTTGAATCGTCCAAATTTATTTTTCCCTACCAAATGGTAAAAATGGTACAAAATATCCTGAACGAATGTTGAGACGCGAATAGATGTCCTAAACGGATGTTCAGCAAAAGCTGCAGAACTCAGAACTCAGTCTACTTGACAAGGTATGAATATGAGTAAAATAACCTATATCTTTCTCTATCTTTCCATTTCTATCATAGATTTTATCATATGAATCTTAATAGGTTATGAAAATAACAGTAAATATTTTTTTAAACACTGAATTATCTTTTCCATCTCAGAAATCTATAGAAGAAACTTTAAACTACTTAAAAATAGAAATAAAAAAAATCATTTTCATTAATTACAATTATTGTATATTGTTTCATTTATCTCAAAACATTTAACGTAATAACAAACATACTCAACTTTATTTGCGCTTTCAATGAAACACAAATAAAACTTGTCCTCAATCAAATAAACAAAACATAGTTTTTAGGGGTTTTTAGGGTAATAAAGTCTTATGAACTATGTGCTCGGCCCATTTTCTCTTCAGATTTGCAATTCTTTGGGCTATATCGATCACTTTGGTCCACATACGCCAAGTATAGTTGTAGTTTTCATACACCTTGAATTTTTGGATTACATATTTGGATTATGGTGTTAAAGCCCTTTTGGAAACCGACTTACGTGGGAGGCTGAAGGACGTCTAACCTATTTAGAGACGGTTCATGATGACTCTTGAATAACATTGTAAATATGGCTCATCAGCGACATAGGCCTGAAGATTTTCGTGTTGCATTTGCCACTTTTTTCAAAAAGACTTAGATTATAGAATTGAATATCCTATTAATATAAGTATTTTAAGCACAGGATTGCTATGATATGTTTTCATCCTTACTCGGTGTTTTGTTGTTCTTAAGTTATTAAGAGCCACACCTATCTCGTACAGGCTGATATCTTCGATATGTTGTAAAAGTTTGTCCAATCGACTCTTAGGTCTTTGGCCACGTTCGTAATAGGAACCCATGTTACCGTGTATGATTGGTCAGAAAATTTCTCTACTTCACTCAAAAGTTCGGGCTTGAACAATATAATACTGCCATCATCCGTTTCCAGCTTTGTAATTTTATTTAAAATTTGTTAGTATTATTTTAATACGTAATTAGGCAAAACACGGTATTGTAGAAGGTTCAATACAGATTATTTTTACTTACCTTTATTACTTAACTAGTTCGAACATTCTCGTATACCGTGTTGCTGTAGCTAAGGTCTCTTTAATTTTTCTAAGTATCAGCATTCATAATACACATCACCGCAAACTCAGATTCAGAAAAATAAATAAATTCATTTATAAAAACGGAGAACATCCGTGTTTAAGACATTACGAAAATATGTAGTTGCTTATTTTATTTTGTACATTAAGTTAATACACCATAAGGTTGTAGTTTTTAAATTCTGCAAGGATCTTCCCACGAATAAACGTTCAAGAGCGCATTGCAATTTTGAACACATAAAATATTTGAGTATGAAACTACAAACGCTCATTCGTGTTCTAACTAACAAGCTAGAGAGTGGTGTTATTGCGTTATACTACTATTCGGGCTACGGATCAAATCGATAATTCCCTACAACAAACCTTTATGTTACTAAAATTTTGAAAATATTTGAGTAAAAGGCACAAAAAATTTATAGTGATACAGAAATATAAGGTGATATTATCAAAAAGTTTACAAAAAGGTTACATCGAATTTATCTAAAAGTATTTCTGTGTAACAGCTCTTACGCGTTTATTCGATGCAGCCGTCCATATACTAATGCAGGCGAAGGCAAGGGATTAAGTTAGTTTTTATACCTGTATATTTCGCTTTTCCGAAAAAGTAGG